GTTTCAAGAACCCTGCTAAACATAAAAAAAATTTGCCAAAAAATCCTGAAGGACATCTTTGCAATATTTTAGGTATAATAGTTCTGGATAAAAAGGAGAGATTTAATACCCGAACTAGTTGGACAGAATAAATTGAAGTACTCATAGGCTGATTTGTATCTACCAGCTACGTAATTTCGCTGCTAAAATATGGCCTTCTCTCTGTCAAATGTCTCTTAGCTTGTAGTCATTTAACCTCTAAAGCAAGTATAACAAGGCCATCTAGCACAACATTAAAGGTTGGGAGATGTTTGCCACCCATTTGGAATTTTGTCGCATTCAGCAGGTGTAACAATGGTTTGGTGAAATTGAGAATGCCTAGTATGTGTGACGCTTCTTTACAAAAACTGTCAGGAAGTTCTTTTAAAATAGTATTTTTTTTAATTTATTGGTAGGGTTTGGACGTCCATTGTCTTCGTCCCATTTCTAGAGCTAGGCTTCTGCTCAGTGGATTGGATGAATGTGGTTTACTAGATGGCAATAAAGTGAACCATCTAAATCTGCAGCTTACATCCCTGTTATTGCATAACCACAACCTCAAGTCTTTTCTGAAGACAAAAGAAGTCATAATACCATGATAGAAAGTGTATTGTCGAAGTACAGAAAGACTGGAGTGCTGACAACATGGCCCGTTGGCTACGCCACCCAGCAGAAGTACAAAGTAAAATCAACAAAGTGTTACATTAAATTTCTTTTTTGCACCTTAAACCTTGATAATTTTCCTTATAACAGCTTTTCGAGATAATATTCTTATCGCGACTGTTAGGTCATTTGCGTAGGCGTACATTTGGTGCTACGCTCTGTTAGGAGGGGTATTTTACCTGTTTTTCATAATCGTCCCTTTGTGACACGAATGATTTGTTATTATCAGTTTTTTTGGTTTGACCAAATTCCTTAATTTAATGTCTTAAAATAACAGAAAAGGAGATGTAAAAGGCTATTTCCTGCACAAACCCAAACCTAGTGCACATTAGCAAGGTTCACTTCGACCAGGAAAAAAGTATTTTGGTGTCATTTTGTTCACTAGGCAGGTATTTTTAATGCTTTTGAGGAAATTTTGACTATTCTTGGACTAACTTCTATGCTTTTTTAATCAACTTTGCCTTTACTGCAGCGTTTGGACTTCTCTTTCCTACCCTTTTCATTCATATCTTTGGTTATACCACGTTTTCAAGCACAGCCAAGAAAGCAAGCTACCCATCACTTTCTGCTGTTATGTATTCAATGTCAAATTTGTGTAGAAAAGACGGAATTTGTGAACTGAGATAATTTTTTGCAAAGCAAAATCAAGTAAAACATGATTTTTGCTCTAATTAATAAAAGTAGACGTCGAGTCACTCCAGATGGAAGGTATTTTGCTTAAACGATGATTAAGTAAGCATGATAACATCACCAGGTCTAACTAATCAAAACAATCAGCTTGTTCTCTAACTTTTGGAGATTTTTTTTCCAAAAGTCATCAAATTTTCTTGCATCAGTTGTGCCAGGCTTGCAGTTGCCTGCTCTTCGATTCGTTATAGTCTTTTGCGAAATCCTCCTTTTCAATCGCTTGATCCTCTTTGAACATCGTCTGTCTCAGCTGTACAAATCTTGAGCTATCCTTAAAAAAATCGTAAGCTAAAATTTTTTTAATTGATTCTAGTAAGTTTGAGCAGAAATCTAGTGATTACTTTTGCTATTTGTGGCGCTACTTTGCAAGAGTCATCAAATTTACCCATTTTGTTACTTTCCAATGAAAACTCGTAAAAATTTGTTTATCAATGTCAAGAAATTGCTACAGTTGTAAGACTTTACAAGCTAACAAATTAAGTAATATGTCAAGTGATCAAGAGGGTAAAAGCTTGAAAATGGATGTTTTTTTGCTTTCCTCACTACTTTAATCTCAATTCAACCCATTTGAAGCAGTTCCAGCTTTATGCATCATGAGCCGAGAACAATTAGGTGGT